TGCAGAGTTTAGATATATCCGAACTAGCCACTGAGAGGACTTACATGTCTTAAGAAACTAGTCGAGTTTTCAGCGACACAAAACTAAAAACAAAAACAAAACAAAAGAGAGAGAGAGAGAGAGAGAGAGAGAGAGTAACACAGACCCAGACCACTTTGTAGTTACCGAGGGTTTGTTTTCATGTATTTATGGTATAAATAAAAGAAAAATTGCTGGAATAAATTACAAAGAGGAGACACCTGACTGGCATATGGAAGTTCTTACTCTGCTGGTATCCAGGATAACAGCAAAGGTTTACTTTTTAGTAGGCAATTCTTATCCAAGTGTGCATATTTTATGTAATACGCTTCAAGAAGTGCAGGCGAGCAGGCAACTTCATTTCTAAGATGGTTGAAGGCACTCAAGGACCAATCCTGCAGCCACTCCTCATTTGAGAAGTTTCTCTGAAGTCAATGGAACTGTCTGAGGGTGAAATTCACTCCTGCACAGAAGTGTAAAGCACAGCTGATGGACCATGCAAAATAGGGCTTAAATGAACAGAAGCAATACATAAGCTTGTGCTATCCCTCTGCACCAGGATGAGTTTCTATCCAAGTGAGCAAAGGCTGCAGGACTGAGCCTTTAGCTATTAGCATTATGCAACACAGCACCCCAAAGTATTGTGGGTAGCCAATATAACTGCTTATTCATTTCAATTTAGTGGCTCCTTATGGCAATATTCCCTGTTTGTATGTTTTAAATTATGGAGTTGCTATGGGGAGAGTGTTTATTATTTTAGGTGTAAAATGTGATAATTGACAATATTTGAAAGAAGACTAAACTTTATCTAGAAGGTATACAATTTATATTTATTACTATAAATAAAGTTTATACCTTCCAGATAAAGGTTGCTCTTAGTTCCAATTTTGTTACTTGCCTGTGTTTATTCTCCACATCCCTCTATGATGGTTAATGCTATATTAACATTGCCGCCTTGGTTTAAAGAGATATTAGGCTTTCACAAAGACGTAGGAAAGACAAGTAAAATTTATCAGATCAAACATTTCCAAAATATAACCACTTTTCACATAATAAATAGGTGGGAAATGGCAGCACTTTGACAAATTTCAGAAAATGTGCTTGTCAAAAAATACCAAAATTGGGGGGAAATGCAAATGTCTCAAACTGAAAAGACGCAATGCATTACTTTTTGCCCTGTGGAAATATCTGGGTTTGATAAATATCACAAAAGCCAAAACTAGTAATGGATTGCTAGATGATAAATACAACTTGAGAAAAAACAAGCTTACTGGCAATAGTATTGAGAGAATAAACTTCCATCAATGCAGGCCTCAATAACAAAGGCAAAAAAAATGAGCTATCTTGTTAGAAGTAGACAAGAGCAGTATTTGTTCTCACAATCAAACTCACAACATAATAAATTGATTAGAAGAGAATTACAAAGCAAATGAGAACATGGGGGTTAGTTAACCTAGACACTTTGTTAATATAATTTCAAGGGACTTTCCCCCGTTTAGACTCTCTGTGCTGCTTAGACAACTTTGTTCTGGTGTGTACATAACCCGTAAAAAGAAAAATTGGCAAACACTGAACTTGTCCACCTCAACAAAACATTTACTTGTTTTTTTGTGTGTTTGTTTGTATTTACTTAAAATGATTGCAAAAAATGTCATACAGGCTTTTCATCTTACTTCTCAGAAATATGGCACATTGACTTGACTAGAAATCATAGCATTTGTCTTTTTCCATACGTGATACATATATTTTTATCCATTCCTAGAAAACTCAGACTGTCATTTTGGCACTAAACTGCAATGTATCCAGTCTGAGCATAAAGGACTTAAATTATGGTTCTTGAAGAACTGATTATTAACAGAATAAGAATGTACGGCTATTTTTAATCTATAATATTTACAGTATTGCACTTTACTGCACTTAATTGCATTTCACTAGAAGTAATGCTGCATCAGTATTATGCCTTAAAACCATATGTCCATCTTTGTTGTGCGAGTCATTCTTCCTATATCCTGTAAAACAGAAAGATTTCAATTAAAAAATCCTGACATTAGGGAGAAAAAAAATCAGAAAGTCGACCTGCTCCTATGGCACAATGCATCTGAAGTTCACGTGATTCTGGGTAAAGCAGAATTGTTCCCAACATTCAAGTCACCACTCCTGGCTAGTAAATTCTAGTCTGTTTCTCTAGTTTTTTCTTCTTCTTTCCAAAAGACTTTCAGCCAGTAGAGAGACACTTTTTGTTGTTGTTATTGCTGCTTTTTTTTCTGAAAATAAAAAAGAAACCTGCCTTGCCTCAAATCTGAAATTCCACATATAAATTCAAACCAGTTCTGCAGCAGCAGCTCCTCAGCGATGGAAGATATTCATGGCAGTGAAATAATACTGTTGGCAACAAAGAAATGTCATCTTTAATGGAGACCAGCCCCACGGATTTTTTTTAATTATTATTTGTGTTTGTTTTGTTTCGATCAGAGAGGTTACCATCTTCAAAATGTGCTTCGTTACACACATGCACATGGTCGCAAAACTGACAGCAGCCGATGACCTCACGCTGATGTGAATCGCTTTGGCCAGGATCAAAAATCCAACTGTCCCACTGTTCGCAGATTAGGATAATTTAAAGATTTTGTTCCCCACCTAGGTTATCCTCCGGAAAGTCTTTGCTGTTGCGTGTGTGTGTGTGTGGCTGTGTGCGTGTAATCGGATGACTCTTCACTCAGATTCGGGATGGGCTCGCCCTAGCAGTGCATCTGGGGAGCAGTTTTAACTAGGGAGCGCTAGGGTGCCTGGAAACTACAAAAGGAGGGGAAGCAACTGGACCCCCTCCGTCTTCACAGGAGCCGGAGCGGATGCGAAGGCTCGGAGCGCGAAGGGGCAGCCAAAACTGGGGGGTGGGAGGCTGTAGCGATCGTCTTTACGAGTCCTTGCAAAAGCCAGCGAGCCTGGCTCCCCCACCCCCAGCCGGCCTAGGGAGAGTCCCGTCGGGGCGGTGCGGAGGGGGAAGCGGGAGTCCTGGCCCCACTCCCCCCCCCGGGCGGACAGTGTCAGAGCCCCAGCGCCTCGGCATGTTTCCTGGCCTTAAGCCGCAGGTCGGCGATGCTGGAGTTTTTGCTGTTGCTCTTGGCAGCCGCGGCCACCACCGCGGCGGCGGAGGCGGACTCGGCCAAAGAGGCGATGGGGAGTCCGAAGGGCGGCGGGGGGAACATCAGGTAGGGCGCGTGGGCCGCCAGGTGCGGGTGGAGGTGCGGGTGGGCGTGGGCCACGCCTTCCAGCTGCAGCTGCGCTTGGACCTGGGGAAGCGGAGAGAGGGGAGCCGGGTGAGAAGGGGCGGGGGCCAGCCACGCCGGGCGGGTCACAAGCTGCCCTCCCCCTGGGGGCATCCTCCGCGGGGGCGGAAGAGCAGCCTCCCCGCGCCCGGCAGCCTGCCCCCCGAGCGAGCGGGGCGCGCCTCCTGCGCCGTGCCCTGACCACCTGGCGCCCCCTCGCTTCCCCGTGTAGCTGCAGCTCACGCGAGCCCCGGCCCACCCCTCCGGCCTCGCTGTCAGGCGATGCCCCTTTGGCCGCTCCGCAAGGGGGCGCTCGGGGGCAAGGCGGCGCAGAGCGGGCTCCCTGGGCGGCTCTCGCAGCTGTGCAGGTGGCTGCGTAGGCAAGGGAAGGCCCAGCGCTGCAGGTGGGCCAGGAGTCCCCGAGGTAGCCCTTCCCACGCAGCCGGCGCGGGGAGCGGGTGGACGGGAGGCGCGGGTTTGATTTGCACACGAACTGCAGAGGTGAACGAGAACCGACTGGTTGATATTAAGCAGCCCGCTCAGCGCTTCTCCAGGGAGAATAGAGGCGTATTTAGGCCGCCTTCTATTTACCAAGGTGAGCTGAGCACGCCTGGGCGCCAACAAGCGCTAAATGGCATTTTTTTCCTAGGGATGTTTATTTATAACTTTCTAAAAACTCTTTAACCTGGTAAATAGGGGCGAGTGTTTACTCTGGAGCATTTTAGGCCTCCCCCCAACACCCTGGATTGACAGAGTCTCGGGTGTGGGTGTTCTCCCCCACGGGTACATGTTTTTCAAAAATCAATACCCTTAATCGATCCCTTCCACATATTTTCTATTTTGGGAGCGGATTCCCCGAATCGGTTACGTAGGGCACGACCTGGAGATTCCACACACTGTAACTTGCATGATTCAGTGATCTCAGGGCGGGCTTGCCTCTCTCCTTCCAGACGCCATTGCAACTCCACTGACTTCAATAGGATGGAGCCTACTGTATCTCTGTCTACACAGAGCAAAGGGGAACGCTTTCTTTTCCCCGACACCTCGCCCAAAGTCTTGTCCCGTTCTCAGGGAGTCTGGGTGAGAACACGAGCTCTGTGCTGCCTACTCCAGCCAGCCCTTGGTAGTGTGAGAGGTGGATGTTGCCACTCGGCGGGGGGGGGGGGGGGGCGTGCAATTAGGTGTCTACACGCCTCACTGACAGGATCTAGCGAAGCTCCCCTGGCATTGCGTCCAACTGGCCTCCACCTCCAGGGGGGCACCGGGAGCAAAAGCCAGAGCGCTCCCTCCACCGTGCCCAGGTTTCACTAGTGTTGGACGCCCCCCGGAGCAGTTTGGGTTCCTGGACTCTCCGTGCTGGAGTCCGATTTGCGGGGACTAGGCCAGCTCCGTGCGAGTCACCTTCCCTGCGTGGAGGCTGGAGGAACGGACCCAGGGAGGCCTGTCTGGGCCAGCCAGCCGGCTGCTGCACAATGCACCGGTTTCATCCGTCCAAGGGCTGCCCGCGCCAGCAGCGGCCCAGATCCGGATTAGGAAGAATTCCTCGCCCCCTCCTCACACACACACGCACCCCTTCCCTTCCTTGTGCCCTGCGCTCTGTCCGCATCAGGGGACAACAAGGGACCAGTGCTGGGCACTTGCCAACCCTTCCCTCTGCTAATGCGACACAGGAGACCCAAGCCTCCGGGAGGAGGGTTTGGCTTGGCTGCTCACTCCTTCATTTGCACATCGGGGTTCCCACAAGGCCAGAACACAGCAGGAAAGGAGGCCAGACCTACAGCCGCCTTCCTCTGCCTGAGCCATCGGCCCGAGCCGTGGAGGGGAAAGGAGGGGGGTGTTTGGAAAGAGGCCCCTTCTGAAGTTTTACAGCGTGCTTTTAATACGTGCCAACTTCGCTATAAATGGCACTTGTAAACGTGTCCCACTTCCTCCTGTGGCGGTGAAAGGGTAGCAGAGGAGGAGGGCGGGCAAGGGCTCCAGGCACTGGGGCAGGCGTTTAATGGGAAGCAAAACGAACTACCTGCTGGAAAGGCATCCTCAGGGCTCCCATATTCACATAAGGGGCCACTCGGCAGGCGTCTAAATGGCTGGCAGTTCCCAGGATCACCCCTGCACGGAGAGACAAGGCAGGGTCAGCCCCGTGGGTGGCACCGGGCATTCCCCCCCCCCCTCACCTCCATCCCCATCTCCTCCCTGAATCTGGGCTCCCGGACCCACCTTTGTGCATCTGATTCTCCTGCTTTCGGCACTTCGCTCTCCTGTTCTGGAACCAGACCTGCAACAAGGGAACACAAGGCGGGGAAGGGAAGACACGCGGCTGCTGAGAAACGAGACTAGCAAGCGGAGGCCAAGCTGTTCGTGTAACTTTTAATGATGTGCGTAAAATAAACGCACGCGGCTGCAAGAGGAACGGCTGAGTGGCCACTGCACGTTGTGCGAGTGATGATGGCTCTCACAGTCCTGTTAGGGTGGCTTAAGGTACATTGGGCCCACACAGAACCAGCCGCATTCGTTCTGCTCCTTTTGGGAGAGGAGGGGGACCAGTGTTTGAGCCTGGTCAGCTGAATAGAAGTTAACGTAAAATCTCTACGATCCTGAAAGCAAACACTTCGGAACCGTGTCCCTCTTCCTAAACCCACGTCCCCCTGCATTCTCCAGGGTTGCAGGATTCGAGACTTCCACTCCCTTGTGCCACCCATAGAGGGTGAGCAGTTGCGATTGCTAAAGCAAAATACCAGAACACAGGCTCTCCCTTCTTGATGGAGCTGTCAGTCTTTTCCTCATCCGATTGAAGCCAAACCGGTAACATTTTACACTTTGTCTAACTTCAGTGCTCGATTTCTAGCCCATAAAATCTGTTACCAATTGGATTATCTCTTCCAATCCAAAACTTCACTTTTATGGGTTTTGAGAGATTTTAAGGTTTCACATAAAATCATAAATCCAGACTTGAGCAAATGGACGGAATTATTCCCTATTACATTCACTTTTTTATTTTTTTTAAATGCTCCTGCTGACGTTTTAATGTTCTTACTTCCAGATAATAACAGGAGCTTTCCAAATTTGGATTGAAATGAATTATTTATGCTGCCACCGGGAAAATACCTATAAGCCAATAATACTCGTCTAATTATAGTAATTATAACAGTTAAACAAATACAAACATCCAGTTGCCATTGCTTCTCTTTGGCTTCTGTTTGAGAATATTTCAAATGTTTGAGTTTGTTTCCTCTCCCTTCTCAAATGGCTAGTTTAATAGAGTGAGTTGATTCTCAAACACACAGCCGCAAAATGTTTTGCCCAATTTTATTCTTCGACAAAACTTAGCAAACGTGGACAAACATCGACTTGCGGTGCTGATAAAATCTTATAGCTAAGTAAACACCTCCAACCTTTGATGTTCTTACACTTGCCAAGTGATCATACGGTTAATTAATACTAACTGCACTTCCTACATCAAATTTTCCCTTCAAGCTTTCTTCAATTGCCTTAATGATGGTCATTTACAATAGAGTAATTAGTGCACAAAAAGGCTTCCAAAGGCATTAATTACCCACGGCACCTCAGTGATTGTCTTAAGTAGGAATTCACCTTCTCTGCTCTGGAGCACAGTTCTTACTGCTCAGGGTCGCCACATGATCGCATATATAATGCCGAGCACTCGCCATCCAAGCAAACCCCGAGCTGTATAACAATTTGGGTCTGACTGAAAACTGCAGCCTGAATTTTTGAAAAGCACGCCCTTTCCATGTGTTAATAAAAGATCTGCCTTTCAAACTCAGGCCAGCTGGGCTTCGTGTGAGTGTCACTTGTGCTTTCTTGAACTACAGACTGGAATGTAATTTTCAAATACAAAATATCCCCGTAATAAACATTTAAACGTCTGTGTCCCAAGCTGCTGCAATTTCGGGTGAGGACCTTTACAGCAGCGACCGTAGTGTACTAAGTACGGCTGTGGCATGAAATCTGCCTGTCTTTTTTTTGGCAAAGCAGTTTAAATCGTCAGGAGGAATTTGAGCAGCGTGCGTGTAAACAACTTCTCCTGCAAATCAGAATATCCTTCAAACGAAAATTATATTTAAATCTGTAAAACGAAGTGCCCTTTCCCTTCAGCTATGAAAAAATAAGGTTAAGAGGAATAAAAGTGATGAATTAGCCACTGCGTTAAGCGATAATAAATCAGGCTTGGTGTGGTTCACGATCAATTCCAATTAGTCATGAATATGCTAAGTAAAGCACAGTACACTGTTTTAGACAGTTATTTCTTCATTAAGGATCACTCAGTGATTTCTTTCACAAATGCTCTAATCTGATTTCCTTTTGATTTCCATTAGAGACAGTGAATAATGACATTTAATTTAGCCCTGCACCATAAACCCAAAGATATTTGTTGTAATTGAATTACTGCCTGCTCCTCACTATGGTCTCATAACTTTCAATTATAACCCTGACAGCTGGGTGATATGAGTTTCCAGTACAACACTAAAAATAAAAGGTTAATAAGGACTAGCTACCATAGGAACTTCAATTTATTTACAGCAAATTTCCACACTAAATTGAAACTATATCCTTGAACAACAAGGGACAGGCGGTGCAGACAGGGATTAGAGAACAGTTCTGAAAGCATTAAAATATCCTTCCTTTTTCTCCTTTTTTCCCTGCTCCCTCTTTTTAATTGTAGGGAGTCCTCTATTTTTCCTAATTAATGATCTTATCTAAATGCTTTCTATTCTTATTTTTCTTCTTTCCATGACTACTACCAGTCTTTTATCATGCAGTCCTCTTTTTAAAAAGAAAGAAATAGAATTGTCTTGCTTATCATTTCCACTCGAATAATTTTCAATTTTTATATTTTATTTTTCGTGTAGTATTTCAAGATCTACCACCTCTCGAAACACCAATTTTCCTGTAACTATGAACATCCTGTTAAGGTGCTGCTACTCAGTAATAAACTACTTGAAAGAAAGAGTGCAGAATTCAATTACAAGTAATTTATTTTTATAGAAACAGTACATCAAGGCTCTAGAAAGATATTACAGAGACAAAGCAACAAGATCTGGGAAGATGACATAAGATCTGATGTCCCCTTCAGCAAAAGTTTAATCTTTTCATTAATTTATATGGTGCAGTTAGATCAATCTTCCGAGAGAATGTAGTCCACCATCCCTTTCACCCACTGGAATAGTCCCCTAGAAATCTTCCTTTTTAAGGCATCTGGGCCACACTATAAGGGTCCCTTTCCAGTTCGTTTTATACAGAAAGGCCCCATAGCTGAGATAAACTGGCTACCCTATTTATTTCGGGTCAGGCCTCAAGGAGGCACTTATTTAAAGCTAAATAGCCACTTACTCAAATAAGTAGTGAAAGGATAGATACATAGATTCCTCCTCTTTGCTTCCCAAAGGCTAGACCTTTATAATATTTTGGGGGGGGGGACAACAAAAAGAATCCTGCTGCCAGCTGAAGCCTAGGGTGTATATATTTCTTTGCTTGCACTCCTGCGTAGAAAGCCACAGGTTGATCTTATTAATTCTTTCTCACATGACATCTGCTTTTGGAATGGATTCCCTATTTATTGCCCTTTTCCCCCCGCCTTGGCTATCAAGGAGAAAGTTAAATATTTTTTTAAAAAATCGATTCGAAGACACAATGCGCAATTCTGCTAGGTTTTGATTGCAATATTTTGGTGGCGATGGCTAAGGATTATGAGGCTTTTAAAAAGGCCGGGGGGGGGGGCAGGGAAATATACCAGATGGGATGCAATGAATTCATATGCTTGCTATGCCAGTCAGACGGGAGCACCCTTCCTCCCGGCTCTAGATAATCCAGTCCCAAAGCACCGAAATCGTCCCCCTTTATCCATGACTATTGTTTTCTGATATTTTAAATACGTCCCCATAAAAGGAGAGCGAGGCGAGGGAGAAAGATTGGGGATTAAGGGGAAACATTATTGGGTGATCAGGTGAGTTTGCCAAAGCAAATCATTACGTTATTAATTAGATCATTGCTAAAAACCTGCCAATTAATGGCAGCAATGGAGGGTTTTCAGGAATATATTGAGCAGAACAAGCACACCGGAAATACACACAGCTTCCCATCATACGTGTCGTTTCTGCTTTCACCTCCCCTGCTTTGCATGAGGGCCCTGTGCTAGAATCCACTGGCGCTCAGCAACTGAGGGGAAGGACATTTCCAGGCAGGAAGAGAGTGCAAAAGTCTTTCTCTTACCTGAACTCTAGCTTCGGAGAGCCCCAGCCTCTGGCTTAGTTCCTCCCTCATGAAGGCATCTGGATAGTGAGTCTCGTCAAAAAGTCTTTCCAGCTCATTCAGCTGCTCTAGCGTGAAATTGGTTCTGCTTCTCCTCTGCTTGAGCTTGGTCTGTCCATCCTCGTCCTCTGACTTCACGTCTTCTCTTTTCTCTTTGCACTCGTAGATCCCTGCCGGGGGAGGGGGGGAGACACAAACCTTTGCTTGAATATCTCACAAAAGTTTCTTGGCACAGGAGACCTCTTTCGCTTTGCCTGTCCCCGTCCCCACACTGAACCTAAACTAGAGGCAAGTGTCATTCAGCAGAATACTCCCAGGCTGTCACGCACCGAATTCGTGCTGAGGGAGGCGGAGAAGGGAGGGCAGTTTTTAATGTCTTGATAGAGAAATGGTTATTATGTATCCCCATCCCATGGGGAATGAGAGTGGCAACGTACATCTTCTAGCCCTAGTGACACCCTCCCACCCAACCAGAGCAGCAGTCAGCAATCGATTGGAAGAGAAAGCAGTCCCCCATCACACAGCCATGACAGGGCTCTTACCCCAGCGGACGGCAGTGGAAGTTATGCCTGAGTAAAAGCCGCAGCATCGGGTCCCAAACGGATCGCTGCCCCATAGGGGAATGCTGCGAAATATTGAATCCCTGGGTCGCACTACCGCTGGTTTTAAATATCAGGCGGGTCTGAGCCGCCGTTATACGAAAGGCATCTTTGAGAGAGAAAGCAGCAGCTCGGTTTTGTTAGGTTAGCTGGCACATTTCGGGAGGGGAAGTCTTTAAAAACAAGTCACTAACTAGTACGCGTCCTCCGCTGGTAACTGCAGTTTCCGAAGGGTCGCAGAGGAATATTGGGCTAACATTCCGCTAACACTATAGAGCCAGTGAGGGGTGGGTGGCACGGGGGACTCTGTTGCTGACTTCTTTATACTGCTGTGCAGGGCAGTGCCCGCTGCTATTGGGGGAAGGCAAAACATTTGCGTGACAAGAGACATTTCCCATTGTCTCAGGCCAGTGTAACTAGACAATGCGTGACAAGAGACATTTCCCATTGTCTAGTTACACTGGCCTGAGACACTTCGCCCCAAAACTCTAAGCTTTTGTCCAATCGTCCTGTGTCGCTGGAAGAATCTGGCCTTGTTACATCGGAGGGGGGAAGCTGGTCCTCCTAGCTCATCAAGGAATAACTCCCCAGCCCTACTCTGTCCTCCTTGTGGGGGAAACAACTAGAAAAGAAGGTGCCATGGTGCGTTTCTAAACTGACAATGATACACATGGAGATTTACACCGAGGAGGGGGAGAAACAGCAAAATACGGTGTGTGGTTTTTTTCCTGGCTTGTTTTTGAAGAGGGACTTAGAGCCAAATCCCTTTTTTAAATCGTAATAGTGAAAATGACCAAAACCCTTGGATCGGAGGGCGTCTATTTTCATCGCTTGTTGCAGCCCACGACAAACCCGATTACACAGCCTCTTCGGCCACGAAAAGATTCGCTAGATTTGTGGATAGCCGCTCTATGTAAGGAGTCCCGGCAAGTTCTTTAAACTCGCCCCCCCCCCTGTTGTTTCTTTTGTTGTGATCCACCTCACAGAAATCATGTTGAATTAAAATCTTTTCCCCCACAAAATATATGGCAATTGCACGGAAATGCAGTTGGAATGAAGGGCGAGGGATGTGCCAATGGAAGTCCAAGCGGAAACAGGCACCGGACCCAAACTGTTTGATTTCAGTTCTGAACTTCAAACTACAGCAGTTCCAATCAATTTACTGCCCCCACCTCACAGACTGATGTTCGGTTCTTTGCTACTTTCGCCTCTGCCTGTTCTTTGCCTACACAGACTTGTGGACCCCATTCCGAATTGTAATGTGTATGATTTTCATGAAGCCGTGTTTATATAAGCTATTTCTATTCAATGGATAAATAAAGATGATCCATGTAAAAAAATAGTCTCGCGTCTTGCCAAGCGTGCCCACACAGTATGTAAAATACTAAATGGTGCTATCGGTGGGATTGGAATAGCACATTGAAATCAGTAAAATTTGACTGAACCCTTACCTGAATTGAAGCTGTCACAAGCGCCTGATCTTGCCCAACTCCGCCCTCTCACCTCCACCCCACCTCTCTATGCCTAGACTGATTAAATTAGATAAACACACAGTCTAAAATGTGCATACGGAGAACCAAAAAGGGAGTTTAGAACAATATCCAGGTTTCATTTTAATAAGACGTCCTCGGTGGATAATTTCTCTAAAAGGTGTCCATGCTTTGTAATCTTGATCATTAGCAACAAAAATACCCAAGAGCTAAGTGAAATATACTTCTGCAGAAATACAGGCCCCGAGAACACGTTAACACTTTTTTTAAAAAAAATAAGAATTATTCTAAGGATTATTCTATGTGGGTTTTGACTGTGAATTCAAGTGTCCTCCAGTCAGCGTTTCATTAAACAGTTTTTGAAAAAGAGTTTAGGAGGTGGGTTGTTGTTCACAATCCTATTAAACGATTTTTATGCTCAAAATCTCGGCAGGTGTAACCTCGTAGCTCCCTAAACAGGCCGACCTGTCCAGTTTGCCCGGAGATACTTTCTCTGCTTTTTTCTCCCTCTCTCCCGTTGTGATTCTCCCTTTCCCTGCATGCGGGAAGCCCTAATGTTTAAAATGCGATCGCATCTAGGAACGTAGAGGTAAAACTAGTTGGTCAAAGGTGAGATTGCCAGACAGGACTGAATGCCCCTGAACCTGCTGGTAGCATGTGTGGATACAGGGCTTGGAATGTCTCTCTCTGTCTCTACGATTATCTGCCCCTGAGAGTGCCTACATGGCTATGCCGCTTTCTGACTTCTCACTGCGCACATAGAGTCGAAAGCAACCTACTGTCTGATCTGTGTTCTGAAATACAAAAGTGTCCAAAGGCAGCGCCTTAAGGTCCAGCTTTCTCCCAGAAGAAGCAGCATCCTGATGGCCCGGAAACAGGAAGAACATGTCTTCTGATACATTAGAACTCCCTGGACAAGATTGCCTTCTTTTCCTACACATGGAACTTCTCCCCCGGATAGAGCATTGTTACGGCCCCTCGACTCTGCTCGATCTCAGATTTAAATGGGGGGGGGGGGGGACGGCTACCCCAAAGTACTAAATTCCCC